AGGCCGTGTGGCAGCACCCCTCGCTGTAGCCCTCGGCTGCCTCCTTCTCTCTCTCTCTCTCTCTCTCTCTCGCCCACTCCCTCCCCCTCACCCCCCCCCAAGCCGGTCCCCCTGCACCCGCGCTCCGGCCGCGCCCCGCAGGTTTTTTGTTTTTTTGTTGGTTTTTTTTTTTGCTTGGGGCGGCCAAAAAGCCAGAGCCGGCCCTGTAGGGAACTAGTGTCTGTCTGATCTGAGGCAATATAGCCTCGCCCTGTGGAAGGTATTGGGAGATGGGGAGCCATTTTGAATAAGACCAAAAGTTTGTGAAAATGCTGCATACAGATAGGAGATCATGAGAATCTGAGAATGCCCCATATCAACTATGGATGGAGTGAAGAAGATAGGATAGACGGAGCAGGGGATGGGCTGAAATGTGGAGCAATAACTCATGGGAAGTGGTCATTAGAATAAGAGGTTGTGGGAGCCTGGTGATGTGGGAATTGGGTGGAATGAAAGCCAAAAGGAGGAACGCAGCAGGGAAGCACTGGGAAAGGAAAGGAAAGGTGCGGTAGCACCGGGGATATGGGCTCAACTGGAAGAGTAGCACCGAAGATAGGAGTGCGTGCCTTTGGTGGAGATGCAGTATAGAGTAGTAGATAAGTTTGTGAGTGGGGCAGGGTTCACTGAGGCTGAGCTGTATATCTCTGTTTAGCTTAGTGTTTTAGATAGCGCTTATCAATTTAGTATATATGGCCTCACTCCTGCTCAGATTTACACATGTGTAATTTTACTCACGTGAATAAACCCACGGGTTGGCATTAGAATGGCATGTCCGCGTCAAAGGTTAATAATAGATACAAGTAATTTACAAAATAAACTAAGTGTATAGAGCTCATGAAAGGGGCTGAGCTAAAATCTAGAAGCTGAAGTCCTCTAATTTACCCATGTAAAGGTCTGTGAACCATCTAAATCCCATTTAAGGCCCCAGTCCAGTAAAACATTTAAATATGTGCTTAACTTCATCCCTGTGCAACAAAGCACTTAAGCACATGCTTGAATGCCATTGAAATCAATGGGATTTAAAGTCGTGCTCAAAATTAAACATGCTTAAATGCTTTGCTGAATTGGGGTCTGTATCCGTAGGTGCATAAGCCTGGCACTGACCTTCTGCATAGAGGTGAATTTCAACCCTAGAAATAGGTCCAACACAGCAGCAATAGTGTGAGCTTCCCTTACAATGACCTGCCAAGGTATTTTACCTTTAGCCTGAAGGGATCACATTCCATCTTAATGTTTGTTTAATTTTTCACCTTTGCGCTGAGACTGCCCACAAGTCCCTGCATTTTCAGAGTTACATGGGGATTTATCCAGCCAAATCCCATTAGAATCTATAGGAATTGGGCGAATAAATACACTGCAAGTCTTTGTAAGCATAGGGCAAGGTTGCCAGTTATTGCTGCTTGTGGTGATGATTTTTGTGGTATAGACACATGTGTCCACTGGGAACTGAACTAAGCCCACAAAGTTATTTCACATATCTGTATATTTTCTATGTTTACATGCAGATAACTTCAAAGAACTGTGGGTTGATGACTTCTAGTCTAGCGTGTTAGCAGTCCATCTACTCTCCATCTTTTGTTGTTTCCTTTCACAGTCTCAGTAACAAAAAATAGTGGTGTAAATAGAAATTCCAACAATGAAGTCTGTTGTTGAGCTTGTAATGCTCACTTGAAAGGAAGCTGTCTGGAGTGTGAATGGAGCAGCCGCTGCCTAGCAGTAACAGGGAAATAGATGACTTGGCACTGGAGAGTAGCAACCAGCAGGGTGCATATGCCTAGTGTAGTGACAAATAATGGTTAATCTGGCCAGTTGGAGGACTAAATGAGAGTACATTGTTTAACCCTGTAACCGTAACTAAATTGTAACCTGAAAAGAGTTTATAATCATCTGGCTGCTACCCCATATCAGAGGCTTAATAACTAAATAGCTGATTTGAGGTTCAGATTTAAAGCTGCAATTTGATTTATTACTTGGTAGTATTATCTTATGCAGATTAATTGTTTTGCAGATTATCGAATATATTGGTTAAATTGTTGTTTGGATTCCTGTGTGATGCTGTGAACTCAATTTTCACAAGATTGGTGTCCTGTGATCGCCATTATAATCATATGATGATTGTCTAATACTTGTGAGTTAGAAGAGATAAGAGTTAATGTTAACTTGATAGCTCTATTACTTTTATAGAATCTTATTCCAATAATGTGTTTATATGTAGCAAATTCAGTAAACGTTGTGTTCGTATCTTTATCCAAATTGAAATTCAATAATTGGCATATTCATATCTCAATTTCATGATTTCTAACTTTTTAGAACTAATTAATGGGCTAGCACAATGCAAACAATGCAAGCAACAATTTTTGTTCTTTTTTTAATATGGTACCTTATTCCATGATAACCAAGTGTGTGTGTATATGTATCTTCCTACTGTATTTTCCACTCCATGCATCTGATGAAGTGTGGACTGCATCCTCAGCAAGTTTGCAGATGACACTAAACTGGGAGGAGTGGTAGATACGCTGGAGGGTAGGGATAGGATACAGAGGGACCTAGACAAATTAGAGGATTGGGCCAAAAGAAACCTGATGAGGTTCAACAAGGACAAATGCAGAGTCCTGCACTTAGGATGGAAGAGTCCCATGCACTGCTACAGACTAGGGACCGACTGGCTAGGCAGCAGTTCTGCAGAGAAGGACCTAGGGGTTGCAGTGGACGAGAAGCTGGATGTGAGTCAACAGTGTGCCCTTGTTGCCAAGAAGGCTAATGGCATTTTGGGCTGTATAAGTAGGGGCATTGCCAGCAGATCGAGGGACGTGATCATTCCCCTCTATTCGGTGTTGGTGAGGCCTCATCTGGAGTACTGTGTCCAGTTTTGGGCTACAGGAAGGATGTGGAAAAATTGGAAAGAGTCCAGCGGAGGGTAACAAAAATGATTAGGGGGCTGGAGCACATGACTTATGAGGCAAGGCTAAAGGAACTGGGATTGTTTAGTCTGCAGAAGAGAAGAATGAGGGAGGATTTGATTGCTGCTTTCAACTATCTGAAAGGAGGGTTCCAAAGAGGATGGATCTAGACAGTTCTCAGTGGTACCAGATGATAACAAGGAGTAATGGTCTCAAGTTGCAGTGGGGGAAGGTTTAGGTTGGATACTAGGAAAAACTTTTTCACTAGGAGGATGGGGAAGCACTGGAATGTGTTACCTAGGGAGGTGGTGGAATCTCCTTCCTTAGAGGTTTTT